GCACCTATTTTAAAACAAGCTGATTCTTCTAAACCATATATTTTGAAAACAGATGCGAGCAACTATGCCTTAGGGGCAGTTTTAGTGCAGGGGGAGGGAGCCGAGGAACATCCCGTAGAATACGCCAGTCGCTTGCTTTCCCCAGCAGAGCGCAACTATAGTACAACAGAGAAAGAAGCGCTTGCCGTCGTCTGGGCTGTTACAAAATTTGCAGGATATATAGATGGCACACCAACCACAATAGTCACGGACCACCAAGCGCTGAGATGGCTTATGTCTCTGAAGTCTCCAACCGGAAGATTGGCTCGATGGGCTCTTCAACTCCAGGCGTATGATATTACTATAAAATACACCCCTGGACGAACGAATGTCGTGGCAGATACGCTCTCCAGACCCCCATGCACAATTGAAAATAAAGACCATTGCAACATATGCAGTGTAGTTGTTGATATGCCTTTAAGAAGCACAAGTAGTGTACGAACGCAACAAATGAAAGATAGTAGAATCTCGAAAATAGTAACCGCATTAGAAGATGAAACTAGGACTGAGGACTCGTACTATTGGAGCAATAAAGGTTACTTCCTTAATAATGGACTCCTATACAGAAACAATCCTGATGTGGATTGTGACGATGCTCAATTGGTGGTTCCAGAACATGAATGGGCAAACGTGCTTTCAACATACCACGACAGTCCTTTGGCGGGACATTATGGCAGTGAGAAAACCTATCAAAGTATCTCAAAACGTTACTTTTGGACTGGCATGCGTAAATACATAGATGGCTACATAAAGAATTGTGCCGATTGTCAAAGATATAAAATATCCAACCAAAAGCCTGCAGGGTTGTTACAAACGACTGTTATGAATCAACGCTTTGAGGTTCTCGCCTTCGATCTATTTGGGCCGTTACCCGTTTCAGTTACTGGTTTGACATGGGTGCTGATAGTAGAGGACGTAACGTCAAGATGGATTGAATTATTTGCATTGGAGACCGCGACGGCTGAAAATTGTGCACTTACTTTGATTAATGAAATCTTCCTGCGATATGGCTTCCCGAGACGCATGATTAGTGATAACGGCACCCAATTTGTAAGTGCTGTAATGCAACAAATTGCCTTTTGCATGAAGATTAAGCATGCCTTCACTCCAGTCTATCATCCGGAGACAAATCCTGTCGAGAGACGCAATCGAGATTTAAAAACGCAGTTAGCAATTATTTTGGGAGATCAGCATCGTGACTGGCCTAACCAACTTCCGTGTATCCGATTCGCCATGAACACGGCTCAATGTAGTTCTACAAACGTGAGTCCTGCTTTCTTGACATTTGGAAGAGAGTTGAAAACATTAGATGATAATTGGCATGACTTTCGTCAGATACTTATGTCTGAAAACTTTATTCCCGAAATCACCCCAAAGTTATTACAGTTAGCCACAACTATGGAAAGAGTTAAAGAAGTACAAGAAATGAAAGAAGAAAAGAGAAAGGACTATGTAGACCAAAGTAGACATAATGCACCAGAGTATCAGATAGGTGACCTTGTGATGGTTACTTTACATCCAATAAGCAAAGCATCTAGAGGGATGAGCTCAAAGTTTTCTCCACGCCGAGATGGACCCTACATGATCAAAAGAAGGCATGGGCCATCTTCTTATGAAATCGTTAATTTAAAAGATCGAAACACTTCTCTTGGGGTATATCATACCTCTGCACTGCAACGATTTTCTGGAAACTTGCTCAATGACTATGAACCAGTCTGTCCTCTTAAGAAAAGAGGACGTCCAAAGAAACCAGTCCCTCCGAACACAATGTCACAACAAAAGCGTGGACGGGGTCGCCCGAGAAAGAACATCCGATAATAAATTCCTGTCTCCTTGTCGGGACGCCTATCGGAGACAGAGGGGGAGTCTGTAACACAATAAGGAAACGACGACTATTTACCAGGGCGATCAACAGATGGCGCTAGCTGCGTTGTTTACTATTTGCCTGAATCACGGTGTTAAGATTTTTCTCAGTTGTTTAAATACTTAAGATTTGCTTTGTAAATTCATTCCTTCCTAACCATCGGCATTCGCTCCGGGACTGCTTCCAAGCTCTTGGGACTGTATCTGGACGTCTTCCGATAAGCACAGCACTTAGCACCGCGCTTTCACGCTTGTGAGACACGGAACTGAGTCTGCATTCTACAAACTGTATATAGTAGTAGTTTCCAAGTACACGTCAGATATTCAGTCAACCGTATTTCATTATAAAACCACATCACCTCTCCGCTTCCACCCCTCCCACCGGCGAACACCTGCTGACGACCAGTGGAAAACGACGTGAGAGCATCACCGCGGGGTCGACAAGAGGATAATGAGACACACTAGAAAAATCTATAACATTTCCTTTTTAAAATCAATTTTTTCGATAATATTCTAGAATGTTGTAGAACATTCTAGGTACTTCTGGTGTAGGGTATATAAAGCCACGCTCGCGATTTGTTTAGTCAGTTTGAAGAAAAATGGACGAGCGACAAGTTCGAACACTATACTTATACGAGTACTTGTTAGGCCACAGTGCGCGGGCTGCGGCTGACAATATCAACAATGCATTAGGCGCTGGAAGTACAAGCCATGCGACGGTGTCCCGATGGTTTGACCGTTTTAAATCAGGAGACAGGAGCCTTGAAAGTCAGCCACAGGGCGACCACCCGCAGTGAATGATGACGATTTGCGCCGCGAACTGCAGTTGAATCCGGATGCTACCACTCGTGAATTAGCGGAAGCACTTAAATGCAGTCACCACGCCGTGGAACACCATCTGCATGAGCTTGGTTATCGAAAAGTTTTGGCTCGGTGGGTACAGCACATCCTTACAGACGCCAGACGTGCAGTCCGTGTCGCTATCTGTCAGTCACTTTTGCTGCGACCCCCGCCGTAAAGAGTTTTTGTCAGATCTGGTTACTGGAGATGAATCATGGATTTATTACGAGAACGATACACGTCGTGCTTTTTGGCTGCCTCGAGAAGAAACGCCACCAACTCAACCGAAGCCGAGTCAAAAGAACCGCCGAAAAATTCTGCTTTGCTGTTTCTGGGATGCGCAAGGCATACTGTTTTATGAGCTATTACACAATGAAACTATAAACGCTGACAAATATTTAACCCAGCTTACCAAATTATCTGCCGCTATCAAGAAAAAACGACGAAGACGAGTCAATGTAGTTTTACTGCACGATAACGCTCGACCTTACGTCGCATCTGTAGTTCGCCGGCAGTTGGAGAACTTGGACTGGGAGACGATACCCCACCCACCTTATTCCCCAGAGCTCGCCCCATCAGACTATCATTTGTTTAGAGCCCTGAAATAGCATTTGCGGGGTAAACAATTTAATGATTTCTCTGACGTAGAGGCGGAGTTGAACAACTTTTTCGAGGCTCAGCCATCAGAGTTCTGGGCAAAAGGCATCCAAACTTTGCCGGATCGTTGGCAAGAAGTCTTAGATACTAATGGTAATTACATCATTGACTAAACTTTTTTTATTGTAATAATAATAAAAAAGTATAAACTTAAACCAAGTGTCTCATTAATTTCATATTGAAGAGGTTTTCTCTGTCAATATATAGGAGTTGGTTTACGTCGCCCAGCAGAATAATTTTGCCCGCGCCGGTTTGGCGGGTGATCATAACCAAGGAGCCAAAGTGGTTCATGAAGGCTTCGTCTATAAACATTCGACTACAGCCTTGTTTGACTCCGTTGACCATGATGGTCGCGATGGTGCGGATACGCCTTCCAACTCCTTCTCCCCATTTGGTTTTAATTTTTCCCCTCAGGTCGTTAGCTGCCTCAGTGGTGGTTGTGGCTACCATGTCTGTGGATGGGTTAAAGTTTTTAGCTACCCAAGTTGATTTACCGCAGCCAGGGACCCCATTTATCCATTCAATTTCCGGGACGCTCCAGGACTCTAAGGCGGTTTCTTCCCCCGCTTTGCCCTGAAGCTTCTCGGCCATTTTTAGGATTTGGTCGTCGAGCATTACTTTTGTACAATTGGCTACGACGACTATGGGGTCCTCTGATATTGTTTGGAATTTGAGTTTTATATTTAAGTCTGACTTGTGTGGTGAGTGAGAGAGCTCCGCGTCTTCTTCTTTTTCCATTGCCTTTACAAAGCCCTCTGTTTTACTATACGCAGTCATATATGGCCCTTTGAATTTCCCGTGAATAGTTGTTATAAGTGGCTGCTTCCGCTTCTTTTAAGAGGATGTTTAGGAGTCCCCTGTTATCCCTGCGGTAGGCGTCCAGTATCTTGGGGTGCGAAGTCTGGCAACCTCCTCGTGGTGCACCCTGGGCAACGTGGCTGCTCGAAGTTTCTTTGAGCCGCCGCGGCTAATGTCAGACGACGTGAGTGGCCTCGGATTTTTATGTTCTGAGGCGACTCACAAGTGGGAGTGGACTCGGTTGCGGACCACGGGTTCGGCCGCCTTGCCAGACGGGCTTGATGGTGACTGAACCTGTTGGGACTGTGATCGAGCCTGCTTACTGAGTTGTTTTCTCGGTGTTTTGTGTTCCGAGGATAACAGTTCAATAGTGGGAGTGGCCTCGGATTTTTATGTTCTGAGGCGACTCACAAGTGGGAGTGGACTCGGTTGCGGACTGCGGGTTCGGTCGCCTTGCCAGACGGGCTTGATGGTGACTGAACCTGTTGGGACTGTGATCGAGCCTGCTCAACCTGAGTTGTTTCTCGGCGTTTTGTGTTCCGAGGATAACAGCTCAACAGTGGGGAGTGGTCTCGGATTTTTATGCTCCGAAGACGACTCACTAGTGGTTCAGTGAGGAGCGGACTCGGTCATGGACTCTGGTCCGATTGCTTCGTCAGGCAGGCTTGAAGCACGGACTGTTGGGTTCATGACTGAGGCTGCACACGAGAGGGAGCGGTCTTAATCGCGACGTCTCTGTGTTCTGTCGCTACATGCCACATCGGCGCACAGCGACTTAACCTTTGACGATGTGATATAGACTGCTATTTCAAGCAGAGGTCGGGAATGGATTCGGTTGCGGATTCCGGGTTTGGTCGCCTTGCCAGACGGGCTGGATGGTGACTGAACCTGTTGAGACCAAGACCGAATCTTCCCCATGAGGGAGTGGTCTTAGTCACGTTTTCTGGGTCCTGCTGCGACATGCCAGAGGGGCAAACAGCAGCGGGACCTGTTGAACTCGAGACAGAGACTTCTGGGTCTGAATGCGACATGCCAGAGGGGCAGACAGCAATCGGACCTGTTGAGGTTATAATGGAAACTGCTAACAGGAGGGGTACCGGTCATGGTTTTCATGACTGGTAGTCAGTCAGGCGGTTGGAGGTTTGATGACGCCCCTTTCGGGGCTGTGATCAGTCTGAACGCCGACTAACTGAGGTCTTGCGTGGGGATCTGCGATGGTACGATTGAGAGGTTTATTTTGTTACCTTGATATCGGCCTAGTAGAATCCTTCACACGGTGGTCAACTCTCTGTGCCTCGCGGAACTCGTGCGTTACGGATGATGAACCTTGCTACCGGCGGAATGGACATACGCGGAGGGCGTATCCGTTCCGTCGGGGGGTGGACATCCGTAACGGCTAACTGTCGACCTGGTTTCTCTGCAGGGATACGTCTGCCGGGCGGGCCTGTGATTGACAGTTAGTAAGAGGAATGCTTGGAGTCGGCCCGCGATTACGTGGGTGAAGGGAGTTCCCTTTGTGGTCCTGTTTACAGGGTCACAAAGAAGAGGGTCAGCAACCGGTGTTGAGGTCCGATAGCATTTCCCCCCTGGGGGAGATTGTGGTCGGACTGGCCACCTGTAGAGCTGAGACAGACGGGGGGAGGGATTCACTTGTGAGTTCCTCCAACTGGACAGCGAGGACTGGAAATGCTCGATCGCGCATCTCCTAATTTTGGTAGGGACAGTCGGCGGGTTTGCGCGCCCGTCGCATTGCACGTCCCTACCCTGTCTGGGGCGCGTGTCTCTCGTGTGCCTGAGATACATGCCCGAAGAAGGAATTCGCCCTTCGGGGCGAGTAAAAAGGGGGCGAATCTGGCGCGGTGCATGGCCCACTGGCCGATCCCGTGCCATCGCCACTAACCCTGAATGAGGTACATCGCTGAGTTTTAGTGGGTATGCCCTGTTTCCTGACCGGCTCTTCTTAGAGTAGGTCCACAGGGAGAGTCCCACATAACCCGTGAAGCCCGCGCTGGGTGTAGCGGGTATGCGTAACGCATTTCTCAGCGTCAAAAAAAAAAAAAAAGGCGTCCAGTATCTTGGAGCATCTTTCTGCATATACTTGCATGGACGCACGCAAGACTCCCAGGAACTCCTCGAAAGCATTTATCCATTTTTCCCGAGGGTCTCCACTAGATGTTAGTTCAGGCGCGGTCACCTGCCCCATGTCCGCCCTGGTCCTGTTTTTGTTTGCCTGTGTTTCTTCCTTTTGGTTGTTTAGGAAGCGTTTTAGAGCCTCCGCTTGAGTGTCGTCCTGTAGTAGGTTTCTCATTCTGTCCGGTACTGAATGAGTTACGGACGCTATTTTCCTGCAGAGGCTCCCTATCGCTCCCTGTGGATTTTGTTGGTGTTTTGGTTTTTCCTTCCCTTTTTGTTTTGTTTTGTCCACGGCTTCCTGCAATTTTTGGGATCCACATTTTGAAGCAGGCTCTGTATCGACTTGAGGGGTGATTGCTTTGCCTAGGGTGTTGCGAGGTGGTAAGAGGAAGCTTAAGTCTTCTCCCCTATTCTCGTAGATTATTACCTCATGTTGTCCTGAGGTAAGTAGACAACCTGTAAGATCCGCTACCTCCCCTCTGTCGTATTCAACGGCTAATGCGTCGATGCTAATGACGCATGGCTTGTTTGTTTTGGTGTTTCCCATTAACTGCAGGAATTTGTTTGCTTGGGTATAAGGGGACATATTTGTCCGCTGGAACAGCAGCACTGTTTTGTTTTTTACTTGCAGCTGTCCGAACCTTATTCCCTCCAAGTCCCGTTTTGGGACGGTTTTGTAGATGGTTCTTTTAACCGTGGCTTTGTTTGTGCTGTTGTTTAGGAGAGCTGCTAGGCCCGGCGAGACAGTAATTCTGCCCTTCTGTGAGATGTTGACAAATGCCACACCCAGCCGCTCTCTGGGATTATCCATATATAGGGGGACACGCCTGATTTTCAGGCTTGGGGTTCCGGTCTCGGCGTTGGCCAGGACCATAGCCATGGTTATCGGTGTGGCCCCTACTTCTGTGTCAGTCTTAGTTGGGATTTGGTTTGAGGAGGATGTAGGTTCCAAGTCCCCGCAGGTAGGCACTCCCATGGTGTTGTGTAGGGTGGAGCTGTTTCTACGGGCAGCTATGTGGTAGGCTTTCTCTGCGAATTTTAGGAACACTGGTCTGGCGTCTTTGTCCTCCATTATAGAGGCTAGTTCGCCCTCTGTCAGTGTCCTGTTTATCGCCGCCTCCACATCGAATCTTGCTGCTTGGAACCTTGGGCAATTTATTATTATGTATGTTATATTTTCGGAGATGGTTGGGTCGCACTCACATCCTGGACTGCCTTTTAGCCCAAACCTATGCAGGTATTCTGCTATTCCCCCGTGTCCTGTGAGGATTTGTACCTGTGTTGGAGTCACTCCTTCCTTTCTCACCAGCCGATAAGCTTTCTCGACGTTTGGTAAGAAGGTTTTTGTGACTCTTCCGGTGGTAGAGGAGTCGTATCTGTCCTGCCATTTCCTGATAGACTCCTCCCTGATGGTTTTTTTTATATAGGACAGGGGGATTTTGCTGTATTGTAGGGGTGTGTTACTTTGGGCTGCGGCTTTTGCCAGTTCGTCGGCCCGTTCATTGCCGGCTGTCCCGATGTGAGCCCTTAGTCAGAATAGTCTGACTTCTCTACCCTCCTCTCTGATTAGTTTTATGTTGTTCTTTGATTGATTTGGCCAGTGGATGGAGTATTTTAGGATTTGAGAGCAGTTCTAACGATGAACGCGAGTCGCTTAAGATGTTTACGACTTTTTCTTTGCTACATTTCACCATCAGAACCGCTCTATGAATTGCATAAAGTTCGGACTGGAACACCGTGCACGCCGGGTCCAGAGCGAACAGCTCTTTTTGCACCTCCGCTCCTTTCTCCCACCAGGTAACAGCTGCTCCGACCCTGCTATCTATCTTGCTTCCATCCGTATAGATGCAGGGGGCAGCCAATCCGGTGCCTTCCAGAGCGGAGGTGTCGTTAAGTTGGGTGTAGTTGAGGTTTGTATTTTGTGAGGGGTGGGAACTATCAGATATACTGATATTTTGTTCCAATTCCCCTCCTGGTGGCAAATAGGTATTTATTTGTTTCTTTTTGGCCTCGAAGAGGGCCGCCGCCTCCTGTACCCTAAGGTCCAGTGGCAACAGCCCCGACAGCACTAGTGCCGAGGTGAGGGAGACAGTGCGATATGCTTGCATATTTTGATGGCGAACACCCTTTGAAGAGACCTAGTGATTTTCCTGTTGGTCTCTAGATGTAACATGGGTGCCCACGCGCATGCCGCATAAAGTAACGTTGGCTCGATTACTGCCACATAAATGGTGCGAATGATGTCACTATTTAAGCCCCACGACACCCTCGCAGTACACGCTAGCTGCTTATAGATGGAAGTTGCTTTTTTGCATGCCGCAGCTACGTGTTCTTTGAAGGTGAGGCGATCGTCTATGATGAGGCCTAATAGTTTTATTGATTTTACGTACTCAATTCGAGAACCCGACATTATTAATTGTGGTTTCTCGAACTTTATTTTTCTTGTTAATATCATCGCATTTGTTTTATGTGGCGCGAAGTTGAGCTTGTTTTGTCTCCCCCACTCCACCACCGCACCGAGAGCTTCGTTTGCCTTTGGGTTTATTTCTTCGGCGTCTTTTCCGGAGAGGACCATGACAACGTCATCCGCAAAAGCTTGGCAGAAAACACCCATCTCCTCTAGTGAACTTCAGCAAGGGATCCAGCAGTATGTTCCAGAACGTAGGGCCTCCTATCGAACCTTGGACGCAGCCCTTCGTTGTGTACCTTTCGCTGGATCTCCTTGCGTAGTTCACTATGACCTTCCTGTTCGTGAGGTAGGAGTCCACAAGCAAGAAGATGTTCTTGGGGCATTTTTTGGCTATCAGCTGGGTTTTGATTGCTGGCCACCAGGCATTGTCGAATGGCTCCCTCTATGTCCAGCGAGATAACTGTAACCAGTTTTCTGCCTGAAATTTCTCCTCTGATGTATTTGAGGAGGTCATAGAGGGCATCCTCCGTGCCTTTTTGTGGTGTAAAGCCATATTGCCTCTTGCTTTGTGACCTCAGGGTGTGCCATTGGATTCTCGCTACCATGAGCCTCTCCAGAATTTTGCCGAGTACTGAAGTAATCCTATTGGTCTATAGGATTTTGGTTGTGTATAGTCCTCCTTGGCTGGTTTACGGAGGACGACTACGTGGGCCTCCTTCCATTGGATGGGGAAATATTTTAGTTCTAGGCACTTATTGTCTAAGGCTAGAAACGTTTCCCTGTCACAATTTATACTGGCCACGCAGATGTCCGCCGTCAACCCGTCAGGTCCTGGGGCTTTTTTGGGGTTTTGTATTTTCAAAACCGCCTCCAGTTCCTGCTCGGTGAAAGGTGGGTCGTCTTCCGCCAAGGGGAGTTGTGTGTGGTGTTTTATGGACTGTCTGATGTTTTTGTGATAGTTGTGTGTCTGTGTGATCGGAATCGGCTGGAAAGAAGGTTTGGGCTAATAGTTCTGCCGACTGTTCTGGCGTGAGTGTTTCGCCGTTTTTGTCTCTAAGGAGCATGTCTTCCTGTCTACCTCCTGATTTTTTAATCACTCGGTAGATTTTGTCCTACATGCTCTCTTTTTCCTGGGTCGTGCAGAACTCCTTCCAGTGTTTTGTTTGGGCCGATTCCGCCATTTGACTGTATATTTGTTTTTGTATTATGTATTCATCGATTACATATTGCCTGCGAGTAGGTCGCCGCATTTTCTATTCGCCTTTTTAATCTGGTAACGAGTCGCTTTTGCTGATGTAGTTGTGTGTCCCACCATGGGGGGTTTGCTCCGACTTTCCTCTGCCCGTGGGCTGGGATGGTGTCTGAGCATGCAGTATTTATAGATGTTGTGTAGCAATTTACGACTCGCTCCAGCGTCTGGACGTCCTGAATTTGGTTGATGTGGTAGGGGGTGATGTTTTCTTCCCGAGGACAGTCCTGAGTTTCGATTTGAACGCTACCCAGTTAGCCTTTTTGGTATTATATTTGCGCGTGGTGATTGCAGGAAAAGGTTGTAATCCTTCCCTGAGGCGCAGGCTAAAACAGATAGCGTTGTGGTCTGATGTTGTAAGACCTTTCTCTACTCTCCAGGACTCAACCCGATTTAGAAGAGCCTGGCTACAAGCCGTAACGTCTATGTGGCTTGTATATGTGTACTAATGTTAAAACAAAATAGAAAAAAGAAAAAACACAGATATTGGGTGCATCCTATAGTGAGCCAGAGATTACTAAAAGGTCAATTTAACCGACTGTATTCTGAATTGAGAGAATACCCTGAAAAGATCTTTAAATACTACAGAATGAGCATTAAATCGTTTGACGAACTTTTAGGTCTAGTGGGGCCATATATTACTTATCAAAACACCCACTTGAGAATGTCTATATCCTCAGAAGAGCGATTGTCTGTTACTTTAAGGTAAGGAAAAATATCTTAAGTACATATTTGATTTAAATTCATTTTAATTTATTAGATTTAGAATTTAGATATTGTTTGATTAAAATTATTTTATTGGGTCCCATCCTATTTATTGAAAAAACACTCAAAGTTTCCTACAATATTTTTAATATAAAATGCACAATTATTTAATTTAATATCTGGAAACGTACTATTCCTGGGAGTCTAGCGAGGAATCTTGCTCGCCAACAAACTGCCCAAAGTGGCTATAAAAACTAGCAACCTCATTTGAAGGCGGTTTCAATATTCTTGATGACAGAATTTTTATTGAAGAATTCTGGTTTTGTTGACTATTTGGCCGTTGTTTATTATATTCTGGTGGCAAGATAATATATTCTTGTGCTGATAAATTTGGTGTGGCGGAGTAGAAGTTTCAGGTGGAGGACAGACTGTTGAAGAAGTCGTAGAAAGTTGAGAGGAAACAGATCGTTGTGCAGGCAAATATTGTAGTGGTGGAGTAGAAGTTGTAGGTGGAGGACTGACTGTTGAAGAAGTCGTAGAAAGTTGAGAGGAAACAGATCGACAGTTGAGAGTTTTTGTTCAGGTAAATATTGCTGCTGCATATACTTTGCGTCCATGATAATTCGCAGTATTTCTGTTTTTGCGTAGTGTTTTTGATAATCGTCCAATTTTTTTAACATAGGAACTAGACTTAATGCAGAATATTTTCCTCATCCAAGTCTTCTTTGGCTTTCTGTCTTAAAATATCTAGAATTTGCTCATTGTATTCCTTACTAGTGTATTTTTGTGGTTGTTGTTTTTTTCTTAAATTACGGTCAATTGGCCGATAAATATCTGCACTACTTGTAGTTGGATTAGAAGATTGGGAAGCTTCATTTGTAACATTGGTGGTTGTTGCAGTTTGAGTTTGCATGGATGGCAATAAGAACAAGAGATTATCGAAGTACACGTATTTCCTTTTCTTCTTTGCCGCCTGTCCCGATTTAACATTTTTAAGAGCTGAGAATTCTTTAGCATTCTTTAGTCTTTAATGTTTTTCCATTTTTTTGCACTTCTTTTCCTGAAACAAAAATGTGCACCCTAATTAATAATATTAATTATTATTATTTTTCAATTTGTTGCAGGTATCTTGGCACTGGAAGTAGTTTTTATTCTTTGCACATTGAATACTTGTTGGGACACACAACAATCAGGGAAATCGTTTCTCATACTTGCAAACAGCTTATTAAAGTTTTGCAGCCATTATATATGCCAGGTGCAAGAAACGAAGAAGAGTGAAAAAATATTTCTAAGTTATTTTATGATAAAACTAATTTTCCTAATTGCGTGGGTGCACTTGATGGAAAACACGTGAGATTAACAAACCATGACGGTTGCGGTTCTGAATACTACAACTATAAACATTTCTACTCTAAAGTATTATTAGGAGTCTGTGACGCTGATTGCAACTTTATAGCAGTAGACGTAGACATTGGCTCTATCAGTGACTCGACTATCTTTCAAAACTCAAACTTTG